AGAATGTACATTTGATTTATCCTTACAAAAAGTTCATTATTACTTGCTGTTTATAAATTACAGAGTGGAAAGGAGCTTTACAGATGCTCTTTTTTTTATTATTTTATTTTATTTTTGGCAAGTCCACGCATTCTTTTACCAAAGCAGGGTGTTCTGGGGCCACCGCAGGGGCAACACCACCAGTAGGTCCAGGTGGACCCCAGGCTCCAAGGTGCTGCTGGACCACCTCCAGGATGATACTGCATCATCATCCACACAGGAAGGAAAAAACAGTGGTTTGAATCTTAGTCTCAGAGTACTTCAGATCCCTTCTTAATCCATTATCTGTAGTCCCCAAAGCTTTAAATGTCAGTGTATTGCATTAGAAATGGCTCTCCGTTCTTGGTGCTGGATCCAAGCCCCTCATGCCACCCCCTTAACTCCAGCTCCCCCTCTCTTTTCATAGTAAGAGCAAGTTTGTCCAATGTCTCAGAAATCAGAAGGGGGGGGTGGGGAGAATACGACAGTGGAGGGATTCAGGGTCCATTTTCCCACTTCCCTCCTTTATCGCCAAGGTTTGAGGTCAGTGAAGCCAGGAGAAGCCATCCCTTCCCTCTTCACCACCAGTGTTCACTAATCAGACCAGGAGTGACCCCGGATGCGTGTCTTCACAGTGCAGAGGCATAGCAGCCACAGAGACTGCTGGCAGGAGCTGGGAGACAGGGACAGAGCCCAGGAGATGTTTGGGGGGGAACAAGGGGGGCAGAGGGGAAAAAATACCCGTTCTGCTCTGACATTCTCCCTCAATCCTGATTTGTACAATACCTGGAGGCCAGAAGGTCCCCTCATTTACCTGCCACAGAGACATGAAGATCAGGCGGGCCTGAGCTGCACAACAGCAAACACCTCAGCAGGACACAGGGATCAGAAAAAGCAACAGCAAGCATGTCATCCTTCATACCAACCACACAGGCACAAAACCACTCCATCTTTTCTGTCTGTCACTTGGGTGACATCACTCCCAGTCCTCCAGAGGGGCAAAGATAGCTGACCTGCCCCGTTCCCTCTGCTTTAGCAAGTTCACCTGCTGCAGGTCCACCAAAGCCCATGTCCTTCCCTTCACTTGAGGCAAAGGAGGAAGATGAGTTCCCCAGTCCAAAGCCATGCATGGGCAAACAATCCCTTTTTTAGCTGGGAAGCACAAAGAAAGGCAAGAACAGAGATGAGTGGACAAAAAAAGAGAAAGGCTTGGGGATGCCACACACTGCTTCACCTACTACCTGGCCCTCCTTTGCACCAATTAATTTGAAGGTAGAAAGGTTTGGGGGAAGAAAGAGCTGAAGAGGGCTGCAGGGAAAGGCTGATTCCACCGGGCAGCTTTGCACCCAGAGAGCCAGCAGGCCCATGGCTTCAACCACCAAAAGACATTGGGCTCCGGTGGTCCGATCCCAGTTCCAGCCCAGGGGCAGACAGAATTTTTTAGTTCTTCCCTTCTCGAACGTCAGGACCTGGTTCAGGCAAGATCAAGGAGCCCCAATGCTCACCTCAAGAGTTTAGCATTGGGAAATGAGGATCTGATACAAACCTGGCTCCTCCACCCCATACCCCCACATGCTTTTGGGTTCCCTCTTGTGGAAGTTGCCTGGTAGGGTGACTGTCCCTCCATGCGCTGGCTGTGGAGGTCCCGGTGCAGCAGTACAGGCAAGGCTGGACAGAGGGGCAAGCCACCACCTTGGGAAATCACTGTGCAAAAATCAGCTTGCTAGTCCCTGTCCCCTCCAGGGACAAGAAGGAAGATTTTTAATGACAAGCACTCTAGGTCCCTACGGATAATAAAGAGTGTTAGCCAGACAAATCAGACAGAAACATTGACTGGTTTGGCCTTAAATCAAAATATGTTTAAACAATTCTTGATAAAGAGAAAAAAAAAAAGAATGCATTTCATCTGTAAAGCCCTTTCCTCCCACCACAACAGAAGTCTGGTTTAAATTTAATTTCCTAAGAATAAGGAAGTGAGAAGTCCAGGAGGAGGACAGGGCCAGAGTCCTGCAGAAGAGCCCTAATGCTGCTATTCCAGCAGGACCTTCTCCTCCTTCCCAAGAGGGCAGAAGGGAGAGGCAATTCAGAGGGAGAGGTGGAGAATGATGGAGCAAATAACAGAGGAGAGGGGAGAGAAGGCTACAGGCTATACTTCAGGAATAGGAGATCCAGGTGTCACAGCTGTGGGCTCATCTGAAACTCCCAAGAGACACGGGCCATACCTCAGTGATGAAAACTTATTGTAGTGCACTAACAATCACCAAGGACGCCCAGGCACCAGAAGGGCTGGTATTAGAGAGGCTGCTCCCACTGTAGAAGATAATGAGGTGCAGCTCCAGCACACAAGCACTTCGGCCCCTGCTTCAGAGGGCTCTGGTGCTGCCAAAGCACCCATGCAAACACTGACTTGCCTTTCCTGTCTTCAGCAAGGCCTGGCACTGGGCTTGTGTTGCTGTCACTGAGATAGGGCAAAGCCAAAGGTCTGAGAGTAGATCTCAGGCTCCCTTCTAAGAGTAAGAATGAGAAACAGCTTCCTCCTTCCATACCTTTCTGTTACTGAATCCCACAAGGTAAGTTCCCCTCATGCTGCGGCCTCAGTGCTACTGCTCTCATCTCGTTCAATGCAGGCTCCTCCTTTCTCAGCTGGATCCCCATTTCTCTATAATCTCTCTATGCACAAGACCTCCATGCAGCTGCCTGGCACAAGGACCCCATGACTGTGACAAGACTCCCTCCTACTGCATCAACAAGTCTGGACTTCAGAAGAGCCACAGCTTCCCTTTAGGGGAAAAGTATTCTGCCTACCAAAGCTTCTCCCTACACTCAATTCCCAAAAGGGCTTTTTCTACCCATGGGGAAGACATAGCAGAAGTGAGAACAGTGATTTGAAAAACAAACAAAAACAAAACAACAGAGGGTCCATCAATTGTTCTAGGCAGGCATTATGGCACATGAGATGTGGAAGGCGCCAAGATGAACTCCAACTCAGTTTGATCAGAAAAAAAATGCTTATCTTCATTCTGTTCCAGTCTCAGTCTTATTAGGCAACCAAGTTATTTTTGTTGATGATTTTCACTTCTCTAGAGAGAAGAATAGGAGGCAAAAAGAGAGATACAGAGACAGAAATGAGGCACAAGAGTGGGAATGGGATGGACAACAGAAATATGGAGCCCTGATGAAGGGCAATGGAAACCCTCCTGCTTCAGCACAGCTGCCCTGATGTCAGGGTCACTATTCCATATATCAATATTTTCCTTTTCCTCCTCCTTCTCCGTATGATCCTCACTTCCCTCTCTGCTTGGAACATGAGCCAGTCTTTCCACTGCAAGGCTAACAGAGCAAGTTCATCATATTTTTCACCCTCTGCCCGCTACAGCTCAGGCTCCAAGCACCCCATCAAGCCATCTGCTAAGGAAGGGTGGTAAGGGTGGAGACACGGATCTGCCTCCTCAGTGAGCTGAATCAATCCAATACAACAACAGGCCAGATCCCAAGGATCCATCACTGGCAAGCTTTGAGCAGACACCGGCCCAACCAGCTGCAACTAAGTGTCCTCCTAGATCCCCTCTCCTCTGCATGGTCGTGTCTGCATGGCCCAGGCTGCACGTGTGGGCTGCACACGCTCTCTGGATTGCATGACAGTCCCAAAACAATCTCTTGGCTCCAGGGGTAGTCTGCTTATGGCCCGTTTTTCTGAGCTCCCTCACACCTTACAAGCAGACAGACAGATCCTGTGCCTTAACAGACTTTGTGTTTCCCCACAATACCCATTGCTGACTCAGAGCTTTGCCCTTCTCATCTCCCTTTTACCCCACAGCACGAAGGAATAGGCAGCACATGTAAGCAGCAACCCTGCAACAGGCACAGCCCACAGGGTTGCAGAGGCAGCCAGAGAGACACAATAGTCCCACATATGTAGCACTGCTGTGCAGGGCCCATGCTCTCCCTGGCTGTCTCCTGTGAATTCCCCGAAAAGTCATTCATGCTGAGACAGAGATTGCAGCTTCTAGATCCCACCATTTCCTCAAAGCACACACCCCCAAGCCCAACTATGTCCCCTTCCCCCCCCCCAGTACTGGTAACAAACGCCCACGTGCATACCAAAACCATGCATGTTAGCACTCATGCACATAGGAAACCATGCACTTGTAAACGCACATCTCCACCATCTGATTAAGTCCCCTGCATCTTATCCCAGCCCCAAGAGAAGCACATACTGCCGGGAAGATGCTTCAGCTTCTGTGGGCCAAGGCAGTGCAGTGTTGTGGGGGCAGGGGTGGAAAAAGGAGTTAAAATAACAACAACAACAACCAAAAAAAATCAGCTTTCTCCTCTGCTTCCCATCTTCCAGCTCCAGGATTGGTAGAGCACCAGGGCAAGATACAGCCCAGGACAGATGCATTAAGCCTGTAGGAGAAGGCTGCATCTTGGGAAGAACACCTTGGAAGCAAAGGATTTCCCTTCCCAGAAATATTCTTTGAATAGAGAGGTATATAAAAAAAAAAATCAACGCATACTGAGATGCTTTTGCACATTCACTCATCCAAAAAATGCCTGACACACATCTGCACACGTGACCACTTGCATCGGTTTCTGCCTGCTGACTCACACGCTCACTGAATGGCCCAGGCTCGCATCTGTGCTTGCTCCGATCCACAAAGGACGAGGGTGGACAGGAACAGCTGCCCTCTCTCCCCATGGGACCCTCCCAGCCTCCCCCGGAGGAAAATCCACCAGCTGGCTGCAGAGATTCTCTCCAGCCAGCAGGAGAGGTCCAGGAGATGTAGGAAAGTCTTCATGCTACTGCCAGAGCAGGTCCCCAACATCTCTCCTCCTCCTGCCCTTCACAGGACTGAGAAATTGTGTCCCCAGGGTCACCCTGGGATGAAGGGAAGAAGAGAAGGAAGGGAGAGAAGGCAGTGACTCTGGAGAAATGGCACACCCCACTCAGAACCAAAGAAAACAAAAGAAGAAAGGAACAGACAAAAACACCCTTTTTGTTGTGAAGTTCTGATTTCCCACCCAAGCCCCGGTGGCCTCACCCAGCGCCCTCTGCTTTTCGGTAGGGGTTCTCCAACAAGTAGCGGAACCGCTGGTAGTTCTTGAGCAGGTACTTGGGAGCGTACATCTGCTCCTTGGGGTCGGCTAGGGGATACTCCTGTGTAGTACCATCGAACCAGCCACCAGTCCGGATCAGCTCACGGATGTAATTGAGGTCTCGTTTATCCTCGTAGTCACCCCAGCGGGGGAAGTCCCCATTCTGGGCTGACACCAGTTTGAAGTAGATCCCCTCTGGGGTGAAACACCAGGAGCAGTGCCAGCCAGCAAAGTGGAGGGGGCTGCCCAGCGACCACTGCACCAGAATGTGTCCCGTGCTGTTCTCATACTGCCGAAAGCCAGGCATGGTGTAGTACTCGCGACGCCGCAGACGGATTCCGTCAGTAGCATAGACAGCCTGGAGCATCCCCATGGTGCAGCCTGAGACCACCTCCAAGGTGCCTGGTTGCTTCCAGAAGAAGCCGTAGAGCGACTTGCGCATGTGAAAGGCGAAGGGCTCTGTCCAGCCATCGTAGAGCTTGAGGAAGAGCACGCCGTCGCGGGCCGGGATCTCATCGGCATCATCGATGACAAAGACATCGTCTGGGCGCAGGTTGCGGAGGCGAGAGATGCCGTCCCGGGTAAGAAAGGTGCGCAGGTAATCGTCAGCAATCCAGCCATCCTGGCGCCCGCCGGCAGGGAAGTGGTCCAGGAAGACGTAGAGTACCTTGTGACGGATGTAGTCGAAGGAGCCATTGAGGAGCATCTCGCGGAACTTGAGGGGCCGCGGCTCTCCGTAGGCCGTGAAGTTCGACTCGCACACCACAAAGGCGTCCACCACATCTCCCAACTCATGGAAGCGGACGTCCAGCAGGTCAAACTCATGATTGATGTTGATGGCATTGATGACCCGCCGGGGGATCTCCCGCGGCACAAGGCGGTCCTTGGTGGGCAGGTTGGAGTACTGGACCACAGTGGGGACCCCACAGCTGGGGCCATGCCAGCCCGGCAAGCACACACACTCCACCCACTTGCGCCGCCTGGTCCCGCTGATGCTCAGAGGCTTTGGCTGCGCCATCCGCTCGCTCCTCCGGCCGCCCTCCCACAGGTGGCTTCTCCAACACCTTGGTGCCTGGTTTAAAGCAAATGCCACCAGCTTTGGTACGGACAAAATATTCTGTCGTGTCTTCTGGCAGCACAAACTCAACTTTGTGCAGCTCTTCACTGGCCTTGCTGGGAGGCAGGGGCTGGAGCAAGGGAGAGTGGGAGTACAGGGGTGTGCGGAGGAATTCTGCACCCCCTGGCTCAGGGCTGACCTGAGGTGTGACAGGGGCATTGTTCCAGAAGAAGCTGGAGACGAGGTTGGGACTAAGCGAAGCCAGCTCCCGGGGGAAGGTGACATAGGAAAGGGCCTTGAGGAAGTGCAAGAAGGAGATGAGGCAGAGACCAGCCATGCAGAGAGTCAGAAAGAGCTTATGGCGTCTCATCTTCATCCTGTGGAAAAGCCACAAAAAGAAAAGTCACGTTCAATAGTTACTGAGGTGCAAAACGTTTACCACTGGTAGAAAGACAGGTAGAGGATGGCAGAAAGCTGGTCCAAATTTAGCGTGCATCTTTTGAGACTTGAACCCAAGAACTACACCCGCCACCTCCTGCCATCTTCAGTGGGTCTTTCGCCTCAGCTGGGTCATGCCAAGCTGAACCTCTTCTAGATCAGTCACAGTCTTATAAACTCACAAAAGCAAGAAAGGCACTGGAGATGGGGTAGAAAGGCAGGAAATCCAGAACAGGAATTCATGATCTAGTGAACTCACTGCTCTTGGCAGATTTTCCCCTATTCATCGATAGAAACAAAATGAACGTAGGCCTCCTCAGTCCCTGCATCACCAGAGGGTTAGGGGAAGATGAAAAGAGAGCAGGAGGGATGAGATGGAGTAGGGGTACGCAGTTGAAATATGACTGGTGTAAGAGAGGCAGTTCTAAAGGTCCAAGATCATTAACCAGGCTGCTAGAGCCAGGAAAACACCTACACTCCTCAGATCTTTTCAGTGTTTGCTCAACACACCCCCTAAAACCCACCCTTTTTCCTAGGAAATGCTACACAAGTTCACATGGGGAACAGGAAAAAAAAAATAAATTACTAATCTGTCACTTTTACTCTTCTCCTATCCTTCTCAAGGACACTATATCTCCAAATGTTGCCCTTAGCATCTGGTCCACAGAAAACAAAAATCAAGTTTTTTTACATCTGGATCAAGGTGGCTAAAATAAACACCTAGCTGTCTTTACAGATCCATGTCAGGCCAGCAAGAAGCCAGCAGTGCAGAGCCCTTCCCTCCGAACATCACAAAATACTGCCTTCGTCCTCTCCCTACACCACCTCCCCTCCACCAGTCCAGGGAGGGTGCAGAGAGCTGCTGTCAGGCAGAGGAGTGATTGAAAGACTACAGTCCAGAAAAAGGACAAAAACCAGAAGAAATAACTAAGCTCACCCAATGCTTTGCCAAGGAAAAGGAGAAAAGGCGCTCAACTTCTGCTGTTTAGGGAAGGCCGAGGTGAAGGTGAGCAGGGGAATAAGGTCACCCAAAAGCCTTTTCCAATGCAGAGGCTGTCCTCTCCTCCCTGGAGCATGAAACCCTTCATGCAGCGGCCCCCTCTAAGCTAAAAACACGCAACAGACACTGCTATGTCCCCTCCATTACACGCTCCCCTACAGTGGCTCTTCGCTCCAGTGCCGTGCCCCTTCCAGGGCCAAAGTTCCTGGGAGGCACCACATACCCCATACCACGATTTAAAAATGCTCCACCCAGTGCGCAATGGTGCCGGCAGTGCCTTCGCAGGAGGCACTCCCCCCTCCTGGGGGGCACAGGGGAGCTGCCCCATGCCATCAGCTCCTGCCCCAGGGCTCCTCACATCCAACATGTGTCAGCAGAGGGAAGAAGCACCCAGCCCACTCCCACCGCTTCACAGGATATTAAGTAGAATACAGCAAAGTGCATTTACTGATTAACTTGGAATTTAATACTAAAGTGAAAAGGCATAAAGCATTTGGACAGATGGCAACTGCCCAAAGGAAAACCTATCTGGCTTTCTACAGATGGCTCCAATAAGGACTTTGGTAAAAGGGTTGTCCACAGTTATACCTTACAGCTCAGTGACAAGCATTTCTGGACACTTTGTGGTCACCATTTTAGTGAGAACCACAGTCTCCCATGCTGGGGTGGCAGGGTGAGGAGTCACACGTCAGGCTCTGGAGGGGAAGCTGTGAGCCTGAAGCTGGAAGAAAAATTACAGCATTGCCATGGGAGGGGAAAAAAAAAAAAAAAGATAAAATAAATAAAGAGAGATAGCTTGGATCCTAATTTGTTAAGGTTTATTACAGGTTTTGATATACTTTGACACACCACAGGTCAGCATAGGGGCAGGGTCCTGGCTTTGTGTGCCCCCAGGAGGCCATCTTGTCAAGCAGACTGGGAAGGAGGAATTGGTGGCTTTCCTCAGAGGGCCATGCCAGTGCAGGCCCCCACCTTCTGCACCCACCTGCCATGGCTCCACAGCCTGACCTCACATGCCTGGTTTTGTGGCCCAGCTGGTGGGAGATCATCTTTGTGGTGGCCCAGCCACGAAGGGGCTGGATGTTCTCCTGTTCAAAGCCATAAGGGACCATCTTGGGTCTTGCTGACAAGTTTTCTTCATGGGGAGAAAAACAAGGGGCTGCAGAAACACCCAACAGCATTTCATGCCCAGGCTTTTTTTTTTTTTTCCTTAAGGCTCCATTAATGACTTGCTGCAGCAGCAAGACTTGCAAGGTAGAGGAGCATCCATTGCCTTTTCCTTGCATGTCACCAGTTTTTGCTCTGTCTTGAAGTGTGGGGAAGAGAAGGGCACAAAGAAGCTGAAAACACTAAATTAGCAGTGTCTGCCTGTCAGGAGAAAATGTCCCTTGCTCCTAAATTAGTACAGCTTTCTCCAATCAAGTGTTCTGCGCTTTCTCCGAGGCATTACCTCCAGACATCAGGTCACTCTTCTCAGATGCTGAAACCCAGGTGAGATGAATGGTTGGCCTGCTCCAATAAAGCAATCCCAGTGGCTGCCAGCTAATGCTGGTTTCACTCCAGTTCCTATAGGACACACAAACGCAGGGTAGCCAGCTTCCTCTGGGCCAGCCCAGGACAGAGGGCAGGTGCTGAAGGAGTCACACAAGGCATTTCCTCTTCTTCCCAGATGGCTGTGATGCTCCGCATGCCATGGTAAATTCGCAGACAAAAGGTCATAACTCTTGACATTCACTGCACTGCTTCACTTTCTGGGATGTGGTGCGCCATGTCAACATAGCAGGACACGCAGTTTTGGGAAGCAAAGTGTATTTTTCTCACTTGACATTTGCATACATCAATATCTGTCAGGCTCAGCACACAGCTCTGCAGCTCTTCACCCACCAACAAAACTCAGCCCGTGCGCTGCTGCGTTGCCGCCCTGTTATTGCGGTCTGTGCCTCGGAGAGCCAGGCTGATGTGCCCAGCTCTGCCAAAGCAAGCTGGCCCTGCAGTACCCTCTACTGTTTCGCTGCTGACATGTCCCAGGAGGCAATTTTCACTGCTCAGTTGCCTTTGTTAGGGAGTGGGAACATGAACCTGTTTCCTATCCCCTCCTAAAAGGAGAGAAGCAAAGAAGAAAGCTGCATCCTCTTGAAAACCTCTTCCCTGGGAACCACTTCCATTCTCACATGCCAGGAATTCCTATGCCAGGGAGGGGAGAACACTTACACACCCTTGGGTGGGCTGCGATACCAAAACCCATCAGTTACATATCTCTTCCCATATCCTCTAATCAGCATCGCAGTGAAAGACGTGTCTTTGAGTGGTAGCTAATTGGAGACAAAGGCCAGCAGGGGAGGAAGATGTTATTACCCACCTTCCCCATCCAGAACATTTACATATGGTGGAAATGAAAAAGGAGGTACCAGTCAGGGAGACATCTCAGCTTGTCATAAAAGAGCCCAGCTGCTCTGTCACAAAGCAGCCGTCAGTTACCAGGAACACAGAAAACAGCAAGAGGAGATATTTCCCTTCTGACAATTTTGAGTGAGGAGGGGAAAAAAAGTCAACTTGATCTCAGGGAGACCAATCATGTTGCTGTCAGGTTAAAAACAACAGCAAGAAAAGCTTTAATGTTCAAGTAGAAGAAAAAGCCAGGAGGAGTATGGACAGTCAGCTCCATTAAGACAAAGCTCTTTAGGGAACACACAGTTATAAACCACTTCAGCAACATTCAGTCTCAGCAAGACAAGCTGAAAGCTTCTTTTTGAAAGGGATCCCTTTGATACTTCCTTGCTTGAAGTTATATCTCTACCATGCAGGGGAAGGGCTTTCAGAGAAGGACGAAAGCTAGAAGTGGTATGCATATAAGTTATCCCAGGCACCTGTTACCTTTTTACTTTACCACTATATCAAGTGACCAGTTGATTTATACCATCCTGCAATCATATCCTGATTTTTCAAGGCGCCAGAGAGAAAGATATGCACCACTAAGAGCTGGCAGTTGACCAGTCCTAATGTTCTCTTCTGGAGGACACTGGCAAGAGGCCATGCAACAGGCTGCTGGATGCATGATACCTCACACTCTAGCTTGTTAGGGCATGGGACTCAAGAGTCCCTAGACCTCTCCCATGGTTACAGGGGAAAAGCTGCTGTGGAGGACAGGTCAAAGTAGAAGCTGCTGTTCTTCCCCTGATACAGAGATGCTCAACTCCTCAGCCTAAAGTTATCCCTAACACCCAGGCAGTAACATATTTGCCCATCACTCAGACACTCCAATACAAAGCAACAATTCAAATCAGAATCACTTTCACATGGTAGATTAAAATCCAGCATGACTTCCATCCCCCACTCCACGCTGAGGGCCAAACGCTTGCTCTCTCTTTGCTCCAGCTGGAGACAAATGAACAGGCTCCACACTTCGGAAGTGCTAGGTCTACCTGCCATCCACATGGCACATGAATCACAACATGCATCAGGGTCACAGCACCTCAAAAAAACTACAATCTGAAGTTACTTTTGTCCTGCAAACACCCACAGAAGTAAGGAGTAACTATAAAACCTACGATTTGTCTACAACTGAAATGTAACTAGCTCAGTGACAGCAGGACTGTGCTTTGCTTAAGGACAGGAAGAGAAGATTATCCTACAAAGCTGGACAGCAGGGAAAGTGGAAAGAATCGGGATGTACCAGAAGGTAGCTAGGGCTCAGCATTTCTCTCACGTGAAGGATGCCATGGTGTTTTCAGGGACTGCACGCTAGGAGGATTTTTTCTGGCAGAGTTACAGTACAAGGTGGTTTGAATGCAAGCAGGTCTGTATCGGCTTCCGTTCAAGTTTCAAGGACAGAATACAACACTCTTCCATGACCTGCGAGAGCTGCTGCCCACAGCACTAATGCAAAACAGCAATACCTCATGCTACGCGTTTCCTTTGCCGCTTCGAGGCAAGTGACC